GCAATCGCACAAGCGAAAGAACCTAGGTCCCATCAACGATCCAAACACATACTCAGACGATTTCACCTCATCAGAGAGATCATAGACAGAGGAGACATGCACATATGCAGAGTGTCGACAGATGACAACATTGCTGATCCGTTGACGAAGCCTCTCCCTTCGTCGAAGCATGAGGGTCGTGTTAGGGATATGGGCATTAGTTGTTTAGTAGTCCATGAGTAGAACAATTGGGAGATTGTTGGTTTAGTGCTCTATGATGTACTGTTATATGAGCTTTATTATGATACATTTGATGTATTGACACTTACTATGCTTTTATGGTTGACTGTTTGATTCATTACATGTTATGCATACTTTAATATGTTATGAAATCCATGTATTGTTATGAACAATACTAAACTCTCTAGTCATATATCATTGTGGAAACAATGATGTACTAAGACTAGTATGATGTGTGATAGATGATCATAGAGATGATCATGGGTATTAGATACGATCACAATCATAGGTATTCGTTGGAGAACGGAATATTGGATTGATCCGCATGAGATTGTCACATGAACTAGCGTCATGACTTGAATCTCATGTGACGGTTCCATGATTGGATCATGTGACCTGAGATGTCTACGGAATCCAACGTGAGGAGTTGTGTACTTTAAATACGTCAAACGTCCTCCGTAATAGAAGGACTAAAAAAACGTGTATTAGGTACGACACGAATCATGTGCTGGATTGTAGATAGTCAAGATGAAATTTGTACCTCTCGTAAAAGAGAGAGATATCGATGGACCCCTCGTGTGAGCGAGACTATAGAAATGTGTGGCCACATTATAGACGAGCGTCGTCTATTTTGTACAGTCGAACTCAATGAATGAGAAATCAGTCAAATCAGATAAGGTGGCTTTTCCATGCCTTATGTTCGACATATGATATCGTGATACAAAAGGATCATCAACCGGAATCATCTCCGATATTCGTAAGATCACGAACAAACTCTATTCGAGATAGGTAATCATCGTGTCTTGCTAGAGACCGCCTATGACTTGTATACCCGAAATGGAGATTTCGGGTTATACTACTATATCGGATCAGCCTACATGGTCACACACATAGAAAAAGACAAACGCGCGAGAAAAGACGAGAAATTTCCAGTGGAACGGAGGCCAGATCGACCGGTCCAGTCTGCCCAGATCAATCGGTCCAGACACATGGATCGATCGGTCCAGAGGTGACGAGCAAACGTTGTTCGGTCCGGAAAAATTCTGGACTGATCGGTCTAGGAGTCGGGAATTACTTATCCTACTCTAATTAGGGTTTTGGGTGAACTAATACTTGGGGAATGCCTCCTAAGTTCTGTTGGACGATTTTCTAAGCTTTTTCAGAGGTTTTGAGATCGAAAAATCGAGAGAAAGATCCCTGAAACCCTTGCGCAAAAGAAGAACGTGTTCTTCAGTCCTAGCAGACAAGTTCCAATCTGTTGGAATCCTTTCCGCCGTGTGGATACGTGTAGAGGACGAGGTAATCTTTCTGCCTTTGTGATCGGACGAACACATCGATTGATATAGGCTCAGGATCGATTGAGGTAAGCGTTCTAATGTTTCTACAAAATCATGCATGCTTGGTTTTAGGATTTTATAAAAAAAAAATTTTACATCCGCTGCGCAAACCCTAGAACCGATCTCTTAGGAATTAGATTCGCTGTAGAGATCCCAAGAATCCCAACAATGTACACTGTATTGGTGCACATGGTATGTCTCAGCTTACAGCCATTTCCGCTCATAGATTCACGAATTGGATCTGGTGGTTTCGCCTTAGTACCTGATCCAGTATTAGGAATCTTTAGCGCGATACTTTTCTTCTGCGGAACCCTTCCATCGGGTTTACCCTTAGATATCTTCATCGGAAATTCAGGTTTGGCTTTTATCCCATTCTCTACCTTTGACCTTACAGATTTAGGCACTGGCAGGATGTAGACATCCTCATCATAGGCAATCCCCTTGCCTTTATCCTCCAGTTGCAGAATTTGCTTTTCCGGTGTATGATAACACGCAATATACACGATTTCGACATGCATTCATCTGACATATCTATTTAGTTTTACATCATCAGAGATGTTTAATTGCGTGTTTAGCCTTGATTTTCTCTTGGTTAGTATATATTTGCAGGTACAAGTAATAGGAGCGAAAGAAAGGACAAAAATCTCGGAAAAGAACGAGTTTCAATGTTACACACGATCGTGTCACCTACATTCACACGATCGTGTCTCACCACCTAGAGGACCACCATCGGATCGAGAGTCCACCCGATCGTGTCACCTGCCAACACACGATCGGGTCATTTTGCCAAGACAAGAGAAGTTTCGAAGTTTCACCCGATCATGTCTCCTGCCTACACACGATCGGGTCAAGTCACGAAAAACCTGATGGTGAAATCAACAGCTTCACACGATCGTGTCCCCTGGAACCACACGATCGTGTCATTTATGGGATTTTCCGGAAATATTTCCAAATCTGGACAGAAAAGAAGGAGTTAACTAGGGTTAGCCCCCAAGGAGAAATTCATTCAGACTTTCACAGACAAGAGGAGAACGAAGAGCTTACACAAGGGGGAGATTATCAGGAAGCAAGAGATCGGAGTAGAAAACGGAGTTCACGAAGCCGAGAAATCGACTAAGAGTTTCGTCCTTATTCTATTTTACGATGTTTTGTTGTATGGATATGAACTCTGTCACCTCGATGTTTAGCGAGTAGTCCCATAGCTGTAGGTTAGGGATTTGCTATGTAGGGGTCTTTGGTTTTTAATTCCAGACTTTGTGGATTTGTCTATTCCATTCAGTTTATTGAGTTGATCTTACTGCATTTGATCTTGTTGGCCACTTGATTAAATGAACTTAGGGTTTTAATTCATATAGACATATGGGATTCTAATCTGGAAGTAACTCAATAGATAGAACAAGTGTCACATTGGAAGACGGGTATTTGCCTAGGAATCATGATAGCGTTCGTTCATGCATCCAGAGTTTTAGATTATCGAATCGGGAGATTGGTAGGATAAAATCTGGATAGTGAGATTAGACTGGGAACACTACAAAAAAAATGGTCATTTCCAACGGGTAAATCCGTTGGAAATGGCCAAATTTCCGTTGGAAATTAACGTTTCCAACGGATTTATCCGTTGGAATTTCGTCGTTAGAAATCGGTGTCCGTTGGAAAACCGTTGGAATTTTCAACGGAATTGCAACGAATTTTTCCCGGATTTCCAACCGGCATCCGTTGGAAATTTCCAACGGATTTCCAACCGGCATCCGTTGGAATTTTCCAACGGATTTCCAACCGCAATTTCGGTTGGAAAATTCCAACGGAATTTCCAACCGATATCCGTTGGAATTTTCCAACGGAATTTTCTACCGCATTCCGTTGGAATTTTCCAACGAAAAATTCGAAACATATTCCCGACCCGACCCGACCCCGACACTGACCCTGACCCCGACACTGACA